TCATCATTTCTGTCCCTGTTACCGCCAGAGTTGTTATTGCGACCTTGTCCATGGGATTGAAATCTGTCGGGGTTTTCGAAATTGATAGACTGTGGTGCATCGTAACGGAAATCGAAGCTGGGGGCGGGGGGCGGAGCGCGATAACCATCGTTCATACGGTAAGGATCTCCAGCTCCAGAGGGACGACGGGGAGGTTGTACACCAGGAGCATAATTTCCATAGGCTGGCGGAGGAGGATTATGACCACCAAATTGGTACATATCGCGATCGCGGTTTGCAGAGTGGGGAGCATAACTATCGTATTGAGGAGCAGGAGCAGGGCGATAAGAATCACGACCCATGTCGCGACGATTTCTTTCGGGTGTATGATAATTGCTGTTTCTCTCATCTCTTTCTCTTTCCCAGAAAGTTCCAGGGGGTCGAGGCGGAAGGCCATTGGGAAGAGGCGGTTGACGCGACATTTTCGAATAATATTTTGCAGATAAAATGTCAAGGTTGAGGTTGAGGATCGAATTGTTTGAGGGAAAAAGTTTCCTAAGAGATGGGCTGGAGCGTCATTGTCTTATTATTGATTTTTGATTTGTATTGATCGGTTAAATTGTTAGCATGGGACAATCCGGCCAATGAACTGTACGGCAATCTGCCATGGTAGATACAAAGGCGGTGCGGGCAGGTGCGGGGAGAGGAGAGGGAGGGATTAGGTAATCAAAATGATGACCTGATCGTCCCACCGAGTCAGCTCAAGAAAGGGAGAAAGGATGTTGCGATCTAGCAAGACGCACCTGCACCAGTGGTGAAACTCTATGGAGTACCTAGGCACGTGCTAGGTACCTGCTCTTCTTGATCTTGACCGTTCATTGATTCTGCAAATGTACCTACCGTACCTGTACGAAATGGAATTAATACAAAATCCAATTGTATGCCTTAGGATCCTTTCTCCTCTTGTACATTCACATGCACCAGTACGAATCAATACCTCACCATTATGATTCGAGAGTCTCATTCATTGGCTGCTAGCGACGTACAGTGGGAAAAAAGAACTGCACTCATAAGGTTGATTGATAGTCCATATTGATTGATATTGTGACATGTGATTGTACTCTACCCCAGATTTCGAGCCGAGTAGAGCGCTTTTCATTCCTTCCATTGTTCAATTGTAAGTTCTCGCTCATTCATTAAATTTCTACTTTCTCTCCTTCCTCTCCTTCCTCCGAAACTCTTCTTTCCATTGTCCTGTCGTAAATACTACAATTCATCAAATCATTATTTCCTTTTTGGGAAGTTCTAACGCAGTCCGTTGATCTTTCTCCAACATTTCCTTCCCCTGTTATAGCCTGTTGATAGAAATGACGTTGTAAATAAATCCATGGCTGCGTTCGTATGTCACCAAATCTTGCCCCATGCTTAGCCTTCTCCCAACAATCCGCCTTTCAAGATCTTCAGAACCTCACATCTAATCAGATCAATAGGATACTCCTTGGTTGGATCAAATGTCTGGTACTCCAAGTTTAAGAAAAGATGACCATGGCGGATCCTTAACAACTCCTTCTGATCCGAACCCTCCGACAATAGCTGCATTTTCTCCTGTCACTCTATCACATGCCTCATCCGCGAACAAACAGAGATCAACCATATTGGTGCATCACAAGTCCCCCTTATTACTCGCGACTCCTCCGCAGATTACAAGAGCTCTAGCATATTCGCATCCTTTTCTATTGCCCCTCAATAAACTTGTAGGGCTGATAACATGGACGAGTGGAGATCCTTGGGAGAGCTTCTTGCTCGTCGCTAGTTTTTGGGCATTTGTACTATATGGAGATGTTGTAATGCGATATGCTGGACCGTTGGTAGTCGTTATTGGTTTAATACTGGGGATGTACTCAAGGCGTTATTCTCCTTTATCATCAACAAGCTGGACAGGAGAGAAGCAGAAGAAGGGTCACAAAAAAGTCGACTCCGAAATTACAAATACCAAGCACCAGAAGACTTTGGACGAGATTGTGGAAACCTTGAAGATATTTACTTCAAGATGCAACGTGCTTTTGGATCCTCTTTTACAATTGACGGATTTTCTGTCGACTCAGCGAACAGCGACGTCTGCCACAACTCGTCCGGCACTTACAACACTCTTAATACGAATCCTTCTCATCACACCCGTATGGATTATTCTTACTTTGCCCCCTCTGCAGGTTATCACCACAAAACGTATTGCTTTGGTAACAGGGACAATTTTCCTGACTTGGCATTCTCGTCCGAATCGAATTGCAAGAACGATACTATGGAGATCATCCCTCGTTCGTCGCATATGTACTGCCTTGACTGGTCTACATTTAACAGATGAGCTATCACCAAACACAAATGCGGCCAATTATAAACCTCCTCTACCACCTCGTACGGTATCTTCGTATGCCGATGCATCGTTGGCAGCAAACGCAGCTATAAAGAGAAGACCAGAAGCACCAGGGGTGAAGTTTACATTCATTCTATATGAAAATCAGCGCAGATGGGTTGGACTAGGATGGACAACATCATTGTTTGCATATGAGAGGGCTGCATGGACAGATGAACATCTGAATGCTGTTACTCCAAAAGAAGATTTCGAATTGCCAGATGTAGAGGGCGGTGGTGCAAGATGGAGGTGGGTTGAAGGTAGTCGCTGGCGTGTAGAAGGAGCTGCCGAATATGATGAAGGTGGATCTAAACCAAAAGCCGAGAGCGATGGGGGAACAGGGTGGATATATTATGATAATAAAGTATGTACAATCACATCGTTTCCGCTTGTATTTTACATGTAAAGCTGACCTTCTATAGTGGCAAAACGGTCGCCGAGGCCAAGATGGATGGGGAAGATATACCCGCCGCAGGAAATGGTACCGTGACGCCGAGCTTGTTGAAATAACTTCGAGCACGGAAGTAACGCCCTCACCAACCCCTACCCAAGCATCTGCAAGTCTAGATTCGAACTCTGCTCATACGCGACTTTCGTCGTTCTCAGGTTCTAGATCGAGAAGTCCCCCACCAGAATATTCGGATCGGGATGATGCTAGTTTGAGGAGTAATAAAAGTGGTCGGCTTAGCAGTAAGAAGAGTAGTTTGAAGAAGGAATACTTGGAAAGGGAAAGTAGGAAAAGTAGTGTGAGTCTACAATCGGAAGGAGATGACGAGAGGCCTTTTACGAGGCCGAGAGCAACGGACTGGGGGCTAAGTGATGATGCCAGGATGGGACTGGAGTAGACGGATGGTAGGCGGACTTTCGGTATGGGATTCGGAGTAATTGTGAAACTGGGAAAGGCATCTGGAAGGGGAGATTCTAATTTCTCACGGGGATTAAAGGGATATTATACCATAGCGTGTGTGAATTGTAATCATTTTATTCTTGCAATATCATTTCCCTAAAGAAGATTGCACATGATCTGAATTTTCGAGGAATATATTTTTGTTCTTTGTCTATTCATTCATTCGCTTCAGCTACCCACCCCTATTGCAAAAGTTTTATCCCTCAAACGAGTACTTTGAGTTGTGCTGTACAAGTAAAGAAGAACCTATTGTACAGATCCCAGACCCCAAACCATTCCATGCCATCCTTCTGATCCACCTGTTCCCTTCCATTCCATACACCATATAAATTACCACTGAGCTCTTTCATCCCGTGCCATTTGTAAACCGCGACTCCCCTCCCACGCGCCTCTGGATATAGAAATCTTCTTACAATTCCTTTATGTATTTATGCTCCCGCAACCTTTCCTAAAGTTCCAACCCCTCTGCTTGAGAAAATACCCATGATTCCAAAGCCAACGTAGAATAAGGCCAGAGGATAAGCGACTAGTCCTCGCATCCCCTTCATTCTGCCGACCGCACAGAACATCCCACTGCTACTATATGTACACCACACAATCGCCAATGTGGTTAACACATATCCAACTAGTCCATCCATTGGCATAATAATTCCCACTACGCTCGTGAGTACTAATGGCAATAAACAATAACCCAGCACACTAGCACTCCGTGGGAATGTAAGGGTAGAAGAGAGATGTGAGGGACCGACTGGTTGTTGAGAATTAGGATCGGTGTTGAGAGGTGGTGACATGAGCGAAAGGATTAGGTGCAGAGAGGAGGATCCAAGGAGCGCCAGCCCGTATATGTATCCGAAATGTACTTTTCCGGAAAAGAGGAGGAAGGTTCCAAATAATAGGAAAAATAGAATGGGTCCCGCGAGATCAGAATCGTCCATTATGTGTTGATCGATATGCGCAAGGGGATTCAGTACTGCTAATGTCTATGGATTCAAATCAGCATCTGCGCATTCCATAGAAGGGAATAATAATAGGAGAAATAATCATACCTTACTCCTGATGTGACCGAAATTCACTCCCAATTCTTCCAACAATGGTGGTTCACCATCATAACCTTCTGTTCCAAAAGCAGCCAGCCATCCCGTTCTCAATCCACCACTCTCTCCCATCCGCCCACTAACCCCCGCTGGTCCACTTGCTGGGAATCCAAATCCGCCGCCTCCAGCACCAGGATATGCTTGCGCAGCGGGGGGGACACCATATCCATATGCTGCCTGTGGTGTTGCGTGACCGGAGACGGGGCCGGGAGCGTATGTTGAGGGGTAGAATTGGAGGTTTTGAGCTGCAGTGTTGGATGCGCCGTAAGGGTTATTGGGGGGAGGGGAGGAATAAAATTGCGACATCTTTGAAAAGATGGAAAGATAAGAAGCTCTAAATTTGTATTGCAGATTGATCGGTATGGGGTTTACAGAGTTGGGGAGCCGATGTGGAATAGGAGAAGCATTTGTGATTGTTTTGGTTGTTTGCAGCGCAGGTATCTTAAGGTGTCTTTTTTGGGGGTACCAGCTAGCTGGAGGACTGATGACGGTTACTAGCCTTATTAGGCATTAATAGGTATCTTTGAATCCCTGCCAACTCGGCCGATGGCGGAAGTTTATTCCGGGAAAAAGTCTAGATACTAGGTATTCACATTATCTCTCGACTTCTGGTGAACAGTGAGTGACTTTTCCACACCATAATTCATTTTTCAATTGTCTGGGATCTGTTGTTGACTGTCGCAGTTCCATCATCATGGTATGTACACGATAAGTCTCTTCTCACAAGCTCCACATACATCTTCAAAGTGCAATTCCTACAACTATGCCACTCTTTTACTCCAAATGGCAAAATCCCATAACTGACTGAATGAAAGGCCCATCGCATCATAACCCAAGTCGTCATAACCGGCTCACGAGTTCTCGGGCGCGCCCTCACCGAATCCTGGAAACAAGCAAAAGCCTCCTCAGCATACCAAAAAGCGCAACAAAATGGTTCTGCTTCGGGTGGTCCAACTTTCTCCTCCAATGGTCTCACATTAGATGAGGCCTGCAAAATTCTCAATGTTAAACCACCAAAAGAGGGCAAAATGGATATGGAAGATGTGATGTCGCGGTTCAAGAAATTGTTCGACACGAACGATCCGAAGAAGGGGGGAAGTTTTTATCTCCAGAGTAAAGTGCTGAGAGCGAGAGAGAGGTTAGAGGGCGAAGTGAGGGTTAAGGCAGAAGCATTGGAGAGGGAGGCCGAATTGGAGAAAGGGTGGAAACCGAAGGTTTTTAAGGACCGGTGATCAATGCTATTGAGGTGCGGGGCTGATGGGTGTGTAGGATGGATAAATCTTAGGACGGCAAGACGGTTGAGGAACGATAATATCCCGACATAAGCTTGAACTGATGGACGACGTCGAACGAACCCTGAATGAATCCTCCCTGCGGATAAATGGATGTGCAAACTCTTCCCTCTTTTGTATTAAATACATAGCATGGCGTTTTGGGGTGGGAAAGATTATGTGGGTATCCTGGTCAGCATTTCTTGCGTGGATATGAGAGGTTATGTAGATACTGCATGAGAAAGACGGTCAAATATGAACAAATGTTCCAATCTACAATATATTGGGGCGAAATTATATTTTTGGTTTGCATTTTCGAGGGGGCCATATTTAGTTCAACTCGCCAATTACTACTTCTCTATTTAGATCTTTCTACCATTCAAAAGTTTCCGTGATTTTGTTGCTAACTAAAGGCCCCCCTGCTCTGTCGCTTCTTTTGTACGTCAGTGTCACTCGTCTTCCATCCTTCTCGAATTCAGGTTCCACTTCACTAATTCTCGCCAATTCCGGAATATCGGCCGCTTCCCTCACATCTTCTATCCCATACTCCTCCAGTTCCATTACTTTCCTAGCAACTCTTGCTGTCATACCAGCATTCCAAATTCCCTCTTGAAGATTGGGTACGCGTTCCAATAAGGCGATGGCTTTCCTCCTTACGATTGGGTGGCGACATGCGCCTGCGACTTGATAGAGAGGTCCGATGATACCCATATCTATTTGGAAAATGGTCGTGGCGAATGCAGGATTGGAAATGACCTCTTCTGATAACATGGTGATTTTCTCAAAGATGGACAAAAACGGGTCCCATAACATTTGGTTATCTTTGACGCCGCGCGGTACATGCGCATTCATATATCCAGAATGGCTTTGTATTTGTAAAATTGCAGCGCCTACTTTATCAGCTTCGGAAAAGGTATCACTATATTTGAGAATGAAGGCCTGGAAGGCGAACAGCCATTTGTGGGCGAATTGCATGGTTTCCATTCGCCAATTAAGGAAACGCTGGTTGAGTTCCTGGGAGTCCGATTGGCAGTCGAGAATATGGAGATCGATCCGGAAACGAGACCAGAAGAAATGGAGCGAGTTGCGAGCCTGGGAAAGAGAAGTAAACATCGCTGGAGGGTATGCTGTGAAGTGAGAGCTTTTGAACTTGTTGTAAAGGGATTGGTCGAAGCTGTCGATCATCTTTAGGAGAACTTATCAATATCCGACCTTTACATCATCCGCAAGGGAGCGTCTCAAACTTACTTGAGTAAGAACAAAATCCGAGCGCAGATATAATTCTTCAAGAAGTGACATCGGTAAGTATGGGTAGTTGGAAGTCTTGAGCGAATCATGATAGTATTTCTGAGAATTTTCATCATATGTGATCTCGCAAAGTATCTTACTACCACTTTCCTGATGTGCGGCTCCATGGCCATAATTACCTTGCATCATCTACAGTTCATGCAAATTAACATCGATACTCCGGCATCCATTAGAAAGGCACTGACCTCAAAGGCAGAAAACAAAAGGCAATTGATTAGACACACATCCATAGCCTGTCGTTCCTTCTTTGCAAATGGCTCCACCAAGCATTTAATGGCTCGATTGTACTCTAAAAGGGGGAATTGGTCTTCGGCAGAAGAGAACAGCTTACTCGATGAAGTAGAACGAGAATTTCTTTCTTTGCTGTGATGCAGAGCACCCAATGCAATGACTGCATGACGTATGGAAGGCTCGTGATGTGCAGCTCGAGGAATCATTTCTGACCAACAGCTTTCCTTACCAAACCCACCCATCATGGGAGCCGTCATATTAACAAAGAAGTGAAAAGCCTCCCGTTCTCGATCAGATGCGAGAATGACTGAAGACGAGGGTGATTGTATAAGTGCAGTACTTATTTCGTAATCGCTGAAATCGGAATTGGAGCTTGCAGGAGAGTCACTGGACTCCTCAGCATAGCCGTCACATCTTCGGCCGGTGGATGCACATCTTTGACATGATGGCCGTCCTTCGTCACATTTCACTCTTCGGACTGCAGTAATTTCAGTTACATACAAATTCTATCTACACTAAGATACGGAAGAATCATTGTCTCTTACTTCTACACCATGGTTAGATATATGACATACCAAATAGCATTGAAAATACATACTTACAAGTCACACACCCCGTCTTAGTCTTTGGTCTATAGGCCCGTTTTCTTTGGCCAGGAGCAACTCTAGGCATGATGGTTTAGCTATTGTGATGTTTTTCGAAGAATTGTGAACACCAGCTCGAGAGAAGACACGACTCAACATGTTGTCGAACCTTAAATTGGGGAGAAGTAATAGAGTTCACAGGAGGTGACTTGAGGCTGTGAGTGGGTCTGTGCCCGGTAAGGTTCACCTGGGTGGCTCGAGGGTGGTTAAGGATAGGAAGCATCCGCCGAATCCCTGTGATGCCTTTTGGCGGAGTGGCCAGGCGAAGAGCATGCGCAATTGCAAGTAGAATCGCACAGAATCACAGATCGTATTGAACTCGAGCAATATCCCATCTTCATGCAGCAGAGAATCTGTAACGAGAGTTATTATCATAGTCAAACGTGTACAAGAATCCTAGTATATTCTAACCTTCACTGGTGCTACATGCTAGGTAAATACATCCGCTAGTTGAGCAGAAAGATAAAGTTAAGGTTACCCGAAAATTCCCCAAGCTGGCCGGTTCCGGTTACTTTGACGAGGCTTATGGGAGACAACGCAGCTTAAATCGCTGAGATAATCAATCGTACGCTGCAAACACTTACTTACATTTTGATATTTTATAATGATATCGATTCATATCGAAATCCGAGTAACATGATTTCTTAATAAACAACAAGCTTATGAATTCATTACTTTCATTTTTGATTCAAAATAATGATTCTTTGATTTGATGTCGAGTATTGAAAACTGTGTACATTTTCAATCTCCCGATTTTCATCCTGCTGAAGGGCAGACAACCTTTCCTTTATGCTCGAGAAAGGGGTTCCAGGACGTCATTCGATTTTTTCAAGTACGATAGTGATATTAAGCAGAATTTTGCATTTTCCGTTTGTCATTGTCACGATCGATGTGGCTCATAAGTCTAGCTGACTGTCAGCCTGTTGGCGACTTGGCGTACAACAGCCGGTTGAAGATATACTATCGCCCCCCCAAACACTGCTCGATAATGAATTTCAAGAAGTTTCAAATGTACTATTAGTTGATCTTGAATAGTAGGTAGTAATAAACAATGCCCTTGAAATAACTTGTCTTGATATGCTGTTGTGTAAATATCGAACTGACAAACGTGACATTAAAATACATTATGTATCCGCAACTCTAGTTTCAACGAATCTCATGAGTATATCTCAACTCAATAAGGGTAATACCTCATCCCTCCTCGAGAAGCTACCTTTGGCTTGGAGGTATCTCCCAGCAACGTGTTGAAAACGAGACCCAGTGAATCCAACGACCAATTTCATTCGATCAATCATGATTATAACTCCAACTCAACTTATGAATCTCTATAGCCCAACCTCTAATGCGGCCTTAAAGCCAACGCCAATTCTCTTTCTCAAGTCATACAATATCTATTTCCAACTCCGAAGTTAAGCTGTTCATGACGACTTGTGAATATTACACCATTTGAACGTCGTAAGTATCACTATTTCCAATCTTCTGCATCTTTGTTCTAAAGGCGACGTTCTTCCTCGCTTTTCTCCCTGGAATGCTTGAGTCCGGATCCGCCATGATGCGACCAGGATGAAATATGTTAAGAATAACGAGAGCAAAAAGCATTGGGACAGAGTCGAGAGAGTATTGGAAGGCCTCGTGGTTGGGAATACTACTTTTTAGGCCTTGAGAGTATTCAACGAGACGGAAGATGATTCTGAGCTATGAGGTGGGTTAGAAAAGGGATTCGAGAAGCTGGAGGAGAGGGATGTGCCTTACAGTTATCAGTAATATGACTGCATATAAGGCATAGAGCAAGGACCATGCTTTTCGTGGAGTATAGATCTTTCGACGGGACTGGTCACGAAGTGTCTGATGGAACTTGAAGGCGAAGAAGAGGAAGACGAAAATGAAGAATTGCTGTATTCCAACACCACCCATGTAGACATGAAGGCCTAAAGTAATGTTAGCTAGCTCAAGCAAACGGAATCTGCGATGATCACACACCATCCAAGATTTCACTTGAAGTTGCGGTGTCGCTGGATGCATTTGCAGCTCCGTAAACCTGAATGATAAGTGCTCTGAGTTCTATGTTAGTGCTGGATTGAAACTTTTAGGGGTTTGACTAGACATACACAATATCTAGAATCACAAAGTAGAGTCCAAATCTCCATGCCGTTACTTTCCATATCGTAGCATCTGTGACGTAATTCCAGATCATCCTTCCCATGACCATATATGTGAAGGCATTTGTGAAAAGTGGTGCAATCTAGACACGTAGGTTAGTTTCATCAATCAATGTTGATTAAGAGAATCATTCACTAAAATTAGAATAAACCAAGCTGCATAATCTGCAAAACTAGCAGGACTATTTATGCTAGCAACTCTGAATATATACGTAAGAGTCTGTGCTAGTCCTGATGCTATAATGACCCAACAGTATGCCTTTCTATAGAGGATAGCTTGGGCAAAGTGAGCTACAGTGGTGAGAAAGAATAGGACGGCAAAAAAGTAGGCGGCACCGACGTTGGGACAGAAGCTCCATTTTGTATTAGGGGTATAAAGGGCTAAGTAAATCAGGACTTGTGGGTGATGAAGGGAAGGGATATTTGGAGCTTACCAGCACAAGTTCCGTTCATTTTTGAAGACTCATATAAGACACTCTGTTGTGAGTATTATGTACGAAAGATGCAAAGACTCAGATCTATACAGATGCTGTGAATGAACTCTTTGCATAAAATTGAAGCCGATTATGATAGTGAAGAAGCCAATTGAAGAACAACTTGAAGTTCATCTGGCACGTTGTACTAAGTTATATATTTCGCACTTCGGAAACCACACAACCCCATTTGCACTTGTCGCTGAGGCGCAGACAGCTCGCTCGTATGGTCAACATAATACTGAATATAACACTATCAGAGTATCCAATGCTAATACTGGCATAGAATCCTAAATATGATTCGGTGATTGTAATTCCCCATAGTCCTTGCTTACCTTGCTAGAGGGTGGTATGAATTCAGACGCAGGGACTTATTTGAGAAGGCATGATTCGTTGAATCGTAGGGACAAGTTCATCGGATCAAACTTCGCAGTTTGACTTAAAAGGAGTTGAACTTGTTCAAACAATGGCATCCATGTGTCTATCCTGCCATCTGGGGCAATCACCTCGTTCGGACTGTTGGTGAAGGACAATAAGCGGGCCTCGACTCTTTTGTCAATTCTTTCATTGGCCTGATCGTAGGTACACCCTGCTTGTGTCTGTGCGCAACTTTTTTTCCCGCTTGACTGGGACAATCACGTGACATCATCGCGACTAACAGAAAAGCCGAGTGTCAAAAACCTATGGAGTTCACGGTATATCTCGATCGAAGTTTGATATCAAAAGCATCAGAAATACCACTCCTTTAAACTCTCTACAGTACATTTCTTTTTGCGGGTTCGGCGTTCGGATTTTTCTGTCAATTGCGGGGCACTGTGATTGTAATTCTTCAGTATCCTGCTAATTGCCATCCTGGTTGAACGTCAATCCTACACTACCCAGGTTAATGGCGCAATCATATACTTTGAATCTTGCTTCCTACTCGAGCAATTCCTAGTAGTCTGTATGTTTTTCTGTACAACTCTGCCTTGGCCGGTAACCAAGCCCCTTTCTATCAGATGTATTGTGTTCACTATCACTGCCAAATATTTCTCCATTGATTGGAACGAAAAGTAATTTTTATTCCTAAAATCACTATGTTTGTAGCATTTTTACCATTCCGAACGGTAGTCGTTCGCCATTGGATTCAAGTTTCTCAAGCAAACGGGGGGGGGGGGGGGGGGTAACGACGCTTCGGAAATTTATGATCATGTTCGCGAAAAGTACAGCATCAATGGCTACAAGATCCGAGTGGGCCAGGTCATTTGTAACGCCTTGTTAGATGAGCCAGCATTGTCGGCTGCGGCAACGCTAGAACAATAACTCAGCAGCTGAGCGGTGGTGATATTGCAAGAGCAAGACCATTTGGACCCAACAATTTTAGAGGGGTACATTAACTCATGCATCTCTGAGGACAATCGACTCTATCCTTGACTTCTGTTCAAGAACAATATCCGAGCCATTGGACTTAGCGATCCAATATCGGCTTCGGTGGTCGCAGGTCATCAAGCAAGTAACATTTGACGTTGCAAACACTCTTGGAACTTCATATAAATTCTTGAACCTTAGGAATAATACTCGAATGTAGGCTCGTAGGTCTCATGTCTCGACGTGACCGGCGTCAAGCTATGGTATGCAAGAGGATAGGTTATGTTTCGTATGGTGTACATGTTGTAACGAGCAATCTCTCCAACAGATCCGAGTGATGACGTTCGCTTCCATCTCAGCTCGCCTCCCCCCTTAAAGTTCGTCTCGGTCTCGTAATTGAAATACCATATGAAGCCGTCTTCCTCCCCTCCGACCACTCTACTTTTGTTATTGCGACTTGTGTTTATGTAAATGCTGGTTGGGGTAGTCATTGGGTTTGATTATTAGTTTCATTTTTTGGGCTAAATATTCTATGGGCAACGTTGAATCTTCGGAAGCATCAAAAGCGCGGATAGTCATGCGGATTAGTGAATATGTGAGAATTTCAGCAAGTAAGGTTATACAATGATGAAAGCTATTTCAATAAAGAGTAGATTGTATTTTAATAATTTATCCCTGGGCTGAATTCTGAAATTTCCCATATTTCCCTGCAATACGAAAACTAGACCAGACCATGAAGGAAAACCTACTTATACGCCATATTTTTCTCCTATCCTTCGAGCCAAGTCGAAAATTTGTAGCAATCAATGAGAAATGAAACCTTCACGAACTCCGAAATATCAGATCGTCAGAACCAAACCAAACCCACTCATCTCAAGCCACCACTTCTAGCACTCTCCCCAACCCTAACGCTCTCATCTTCCTCTACATCCTTATTCCTTAAGCTATCTCTGCCTCTTCCAATGCTCACACTGGCCGACGTACTAACACTCTCACTTCTTGGTCTGTTCAAACTTGCATCACTCTGTCTTCTATCCCTTATCACCCTCTCCAACTCCCTAATCCTCTTCTTCAACGCCTCATTCTCTCTCTTCACATTTTCTAATTCCTGTCTTTGAAGGGCTGCCTCCTCATATCTTGCTGTTGTTGGCACGCTTGTCGCACTACCAATTTCACCCGCAGTGCTACCCATTGTTGGTACATTACCCGATGAATAATCACGATGTGGTAGCATACTAGGTCGTTGTTGGTGATAGAAATGCGAGAATTGATCTGCATGTCCATAACTACCGCTCAATGGTGCAGGACTACTAGCTCCGGATCTGTGAACACCAGTTGTGGAGTTTTGGCGACTCAGGGAGATAGCTTGAGGTAGTGAATCGACGCGTCGAGCGGCAGGGGCGGCGATCCCACTGGTCGTGCTGATACTGCCTGCTGTGGCAGTAATGCTTCGAGTGGAGGTGCTTGAAGATGTGCGGTGATGGCGACGGTGTGAAGGAATGGGGTGGTTGGGTCCGGATAGGAGATGGTTTGAGTTATCTAACCCATCAGGGTGACCTGCGGAAGTGGACGAGGTATTTGAGACGACGGAGGCATTTTGAGCAGCACGAAGCATGCTCAGCTCGCGGGTTAATCGATTGACCTATCATAGCATCACAAAGATTAGTATACATAACTAGAATACAAAGTTTTCATTGTCTGAAAGATCACTAGACATTTGATAAACTATCGGAATGTACATACGACAGCTTCTTGTTCTTTCTCCAGTTGTAGATGTAAATCCGCAGCAGTCAGAGGCCTTGGGTGTCTTAACGGTCCAGGTCCCATTCCTACACCGGTATTATCTCCTGAAGGAATCGTGCCAGTTGCAGATGTCAAAATATTATTGGAAGGCGACATCAAAGGAGGCGAAGCTGCAGTGACAGCACTTTGGTTCGAAGGGAGAATATTTAAGGAAGAAGTCGATAGATTATTTGGGGAAGCCATTGCTTGAGAAGTGCGTCGGGAAGGAGTACGAGATGTAAGACGTGGAGATGCTATAACCTCCTGAGGTCTTGGGTATATAGGTATTGAGTTTAGATCTGGTGCCATCACTTTCACCGAAGTGAGCACGGAGTGGATTGTAGACTTTCGCGCGACGATAAATACACGTTTATGTATTGCTAGGTTTCAATAGTGCGGGACCATATTATACATAGGAGTAGGATTAGAATAACTTTGTAAATCAATTAGTTAATCTAATTGTAACAAAATCATAAGGCTGTAGCACTATTGCTGAGGAACGGTTTGATAACGCATGGATGGATCCATGGATAATTTAGAAAGGGTGAGGCTACCTAGGTAATCTTGGCATGTGGCTTGTGAGTTGTGACTTGTGGCTGACACTCAAAGCTTAGCAAAATCACATGATCCTATTTAAGCCTGGAGTAAAAGCCCCGAGTTCATGTCACAGTGAAAGGATGAAGTGGGGGGCAACTTTCTCTATGACGTATGAAGCTTAGAGGGGTATATAGAAAAGGAGAAGCTTGTTTCTGTCTACCTTCATATCTAAAACTACACACAACTCTACTATCCATCTCTCAAACTCAATTCCTCTTCATCAATGTAAGTTTATACTTGATCACTCACGTACTCAATCATCTGCATCGACTTAACATCGTCGTTTGGTCCCTCGCTTCGTATAAGCTAATCTCTACCTCCTATTCCATGTTTTATACAACAAATCTCAAATTCATTCTTCAGTCAAACTAATTCTCCCTAGAACTGTCTAAATACACATACACACATACATCATGCCTGAAGGACGTCAATCACCACCACCTGAGACCCAATCTGGCGCTCAAAAAGGTGCTCCCTCCGATGCCAAGGGAGTCAGCCAAGGAGGCAACAACCAACAAGACAGCAAATCTGATCTTGAGGTACGTAAAGTTCATACCTGCTCGTTGAGTAGACAAATGACCAGATTCAATACTAACACGATTTTAACAGAACCTCTCCTCAAACCCAAAGGGACCTCTCGAGGATCACTCAAACGAGACTCGCTCAAAGACTGAGAACTAAACGCGAACTGATATGAGGGTGTTCGGGATAATGAATGGAAACATGTATATTAGTCGCACTTCCAAAGGAAGTGTACGCATTGATACGATATGAGATGATATGATACCGTCATGAAATGGGAGGAGTTAAATGAGACAATGAAATAAACTCGTTATCAAGTACTCTGGTGTGATGTTGGCTTACTTCTGTCGTGAGAACGTGCAACGTGTATCAATATTTCCATATAGAATACAGACTTTTTGAAAGACATGTATTGTCACACATTAATTGGTTCAATGAACAGCAGAGAGGCTCAGTATTTTCGAACGGTCTTGTTGACCTATGCAGGTCTACCTATCCATCTCTCAACAACAGGGCTTGTAAGATTACATAACTAATCCATCAACAGAATGTTGTCATGCATTATCGTCACGGTTTTCCGAGTAATTATGTGTACACAAGCGTCACTTTTTACAAAAATTGCCAAGTAAACAGGACTCTTTACCGTCACAGATAACATCATATCAGGGACGCACGTAATTGTGGTGAAAAACAAATGATATTTAATTCGCGAATTGATCATTAACCTTCATATTCCCCCAACGCATCGCTTGCAAACAACCGTCCAACTTAATCTGATAGTTCATCCCTAATATCCGTTTTCTGTAACCATTCACACCGATCCCAAAAATTGCCACTCTCATAAAAAAGATCAAAAACACAAAACGCTCAAGCAAAGGTTGGCTTCTCAGATTGAGAATCGAGAGGTGCAACCTTGGTTGAGTCCACAATAGCTGCTGAATCAGCTGGTTAAAAAAGCTAAGTCAGCAGGTAACTAATGATACAATTTGATTTCCATGACCAGCAACGAAAGAAACATAAAAAAATTGATCTATTTGCAACATCCAGTGCAAGCACATTGGCCTTCCGCGCAAGGACAGTCTTTACTGTCTCCACCACACTTGCAAGTCGTCTTGTCGCTACCAGCAACCTTCTCTGTTTCGGCCTTGGGACAGGAGTTGCAGCTGCACTGACCAGGAGCACAGCCACATTTCGAGGTATTACCACCACAACCGCAGGTTGTTTTATCAGAACCTGGAACCTTCTTGACATCGGACTTGCCACAGTCGCTGCATGCACAGGACCCAGGGGCACACGGACATTCTCCAGAAACTGAACCACACTTACAAGTTGTCTTCTCGGTACCAGGAACCTTTTGTGGTCCTTCCTGTTTCTTGATATCTGCCAAACGACGAGCCTCGGCGTGAATATCCTGAACTTGGCGAGAGGTTTGTGTGTAGAAGTTGACAAGCTTTTGACCAGTTGGGGTTCCGGCAGCCTTCTCGTAATAAGAGGTTAATCCAGAAAGGAGGGAGCTGGCCTTTTGGGTAACACCATAAGATTGATCGACGCCCTTGGCCTTCTCAGTGGCATGGTACTTGCTGTCGAGACTGTTTAAGGTGGCGAGGAAGCGGTTAGAGACTCCATGCTTTTGGTCCAGGTCGATAGCACGTTGAGCAGCGGTATCTCCAATGGCATAGCCATGGGCAAGATATTCTGCAATGATACGGCTTCTTGGCTTCTCCTCCTGGGTAATCTCGTCGCTATCACGTTGTTCATTGGAAGTATAATGGCTTCCATCGTCCTCGTTGGATCCAGATGCACTTGTAACCTTGACTTGGGTAGATCCAAGTTGAGTGTTGTCGAGTAACAAAGCAGTCTTAGCCGCGGTTTCCTTCTCAAACTGAACGGTGGCGTTTTGTGTCTCTCCAACGGATCCAACTTCAAGGCTGGTAATCTTTCCACTATATTGATGTTAAAGTCTTGCAAGGAAGTAAAAACTTGAGGAATGGAGTTGAAGCTCACCAGAAGCTGAAGAAGTCTTTAACTTCTTTCTCGCTGGTCTGCGAGGAGATGTTCTTGACGTGTACTGTATTGGCAGACATGATGATGAGGATGGATGATAATTTGTGAGTTTATTTTATTATTGAGTTGTTTTGTTACAAAGAGGTTTGATTGAATTGCGTTGAGTGTAGAAAAAGTTGATGGGTTTTTGTTGAATTGTATCGTGGCTCTTTGAATGTATTTGTAGCATGCAATGGAATGGGAAACAGGGGCGAAAAGTGGGCAGATCAATATGGCCAAAAACAAGAGGGGTAATTGCGTACGTCACTGTGGCGTATGTGGCTTGTGTAGGACAGCGATGCTGAGTTTACTTTACATAAGCAGAAACACCCAATCAAAGCTCATGATCTATCGCCAGTGGTTTCTGGTAAAGTCCTGGGCTACTCCGTACTAGGTAGGGAGGTGCGTAGGTACCTAGTAGGTAGCCAAGGAGAAACAACTAGAATCCTCCACCAGCTCCTACAATTGTTAGCATTTCTATCATTTGAATACTATCAACACGCGTGAAGTTTGGTATAGAATATTAGCATACTTCGTACATGGTATCAAGAGAAGAAGGGCGCGGGAGCGTAGCATTTACTAGTTACCTTACGTAACAGAAGACTAATAACATAGCACGTGTGTTTATCGGCACATATAGCAGAGGTCTATTGACATTGGAACGAAAGTACGTGAATGGAAAGTACATGCCACTTATCTTCACTCATAGCAGGAAAGTCCCAGGTGGGAAAGGATTGTTTTCTCAACGAACAATAGCAAGTCATTAACGTAGGAAAGTGCGATTGCGAGAGAGAGTAGAAGGGCACAAGACGCTTGCTTCATGAACATCACGAGATGCGACAACAACGTATAACGCACAATATACCCTATCGCGACTCTAGTGAGGTTGTCATTCTATTGGTCGTGAACAAACAGTATCCATTGGTTAACACGCCCCTTCAACGTTGCTCATTATGGGGTTTCAACTAGACTTAGCGGCTGCCGAAGACGCAGATATACTTGCAGATATGCATCTGAACGCCTTCGCTCGAACGCCTTTGCAACGTACTCTATTTCCAACGGAAGAAAGCCTTGCAGGCTTACGTGAATGTCTCAAACAGGATGTACTCCTAACTTTGAAAGAAGGAAACGTTGAGAGAATCAATTTGGTAGTGCGAGACACCGACGACATGAAGAAAATCATCGCAATAGCCAAGTGGGATCTGCCTGAGAAGATCCCACGGGCCGTTTGTCCTCTTGCTCATATATTCCCTCCAAAGGATTCCTGCGGGGACCTTATCAAACAGTACAGTGCTAAGCAGGAATCTAATAAGATGAAGGTCATGGGTGATGCCCAATGCTATCGTAAGATTATCCCAGTTTTGTTCATACTAGTAATTCCCCCACCAATTTATTCGTTGTTTGAGTAAGCACCCAGAAGCATCTGTTTATTAAGTCTTTCAGGTTTCTTTTTTGGTCTCAGATTGTATCCACTACTCCTTCTGACAGCGCGAGATAGGTCTCACTTCAGTCATCACTCTGCCTCAATATAGGAGACGCGGAGCTGGAACTTTATTGATTAACTGGGGACTGTTAAGAGGGGAGAAAGAAAAAATTCCAGTATACCTGGAAAGTCCCGTTTCTACTTTGTCTTTCTTTCGAAATTTGGGCTTCATTCCTGTGAATGAGTTTTCGATATCCTTACCCCGGAGCCGAGCCCCTGGCTATATTCATAGAGAAACATGTATGATCCGAATATTTCGAGAATGTGATGTTAGAGAGGAAGAAATTGACTACTGGGACTCAAGTCTCGATATTGAAAGTCTAACGACTGATTACGAAGCTGGTGTCAGACCTCAACTCGTAGTGCAAGCTATTTATGACCGCATCGAAGCATATCGAAACATACAACCATCTTTGTGGATTTACCTTCAGCCTATTGAAGATGTTATGGCTTCAGCCAGAGATTTGTGCAGGCGTTGGCCAGATAGATCTAATAGGCCACCACTGTGGGGTATACCTTTCAGCGTCAAAGATAGCTTTGACATTGCTGGAATTCCCACCACGATTGGATGTCAAACACTTGCATACACTCCTAACTCTTCATCACTAGTCTACCGAAGATGTATCGACGCCGGTGCACTTTTTATTGGAAAGACAAACATGGATCAACTAGCTACTGGCATGACAGGTTGCAGATCTTCATTTGGCACGCTGCACTCAGCTCTCAGCCCAGACTACGTTGTTGGTGGATCGAGTAGCGGTAGTGCCATAAGTGTTGCTGAAGGCTTAGTGTCATTTTCTTTGGGCAGTGATACCGCAGGCTCGATTCGAATTCCCGCGATGTTTAACAATATTGTTGGATTCAAACCTACCAAAGGAACTGTTTCAGCTCAAGGGGTTGCGCCAGCTTGTCTCCATCAAGATTGCATTTCTTTTTTGGGTGTCACTTCAGAAGTCACTGAAAAAGTTTGGAGGGTTTGTCAAGGATTTGATAAAGAAGACTATTTTGCCAAACCTCCACCATTCCAGATCTCATCACGCGTATATTCCGAAGATACCAGAAATTCTAAGGATGCCTTGCCATCATTCAAGTTTGGTACACCACCAGACTCTGCGCTTGAAGCTTGTATCCCCATCTTTCAAAAGCAGTTCAAACTTGTAATTGCAGTTTTAGAAGAGCTGGGCGGCCGGCGAGTGGATATGGACTGGACGCCCTTCGAATCCGCCAACGAGCTTCTTTACGGCGGTACGTTCGTTCTGGAGCGACTCACAACACTACCCGATGGCTGGTTCGACAAGAACAAAGACACACTTCACCCAGTCATTCGCTCTGTCTTCGAGAACGCACTTGCACGTAAGAGCACGGCCGTTGATGTATTCAAAGATCTACAAAAGCAGGCAAAGTACAAAAGAATGGTCGAAGAAATTCTCACGCTAGATGAAGATTCTCACGAATTAACTGTTATGGTAGTTCCCACTGCACCTTTTCACCCCACCATTGAAGAAGTGTCAAAAGATCCCATTTGTATTAATGAAAAGCTTGGCGCCTTTGCTCATTTTGCCAATGTTCTGGACCTAGTAGCTGTAGCGCTCCCTTGCGGGACATATAGGGTTGAAATTAGTGACACGGAAATCTTGCCGTTTGGTGTTACGATCCTGGCGGGAACGGGTCTGGATCGACATCTTCTGCATTTGATTAAGAGATTAGAAGATCCGTTGAGAGATATTGAAGACGATTTAGGATCAAATACCTCGCTGACAGGGGCCGAGGAATTTTCAATGAGAGCTTCTGAGGAAAATGATTATTTGGACAATACGGTCAGCGATATTGGGAAAGACACGACGGCAGAAGTTGAAGTAGATACGAGGAAAGGTGTCGAGAACAGTAGCAACTTGGAGGAAGTGTTGAGGAATATCGAGGACGAAATGTTGAAAGCTCATTCGGAGAGTGATGAATTAGAGGAAAAGATAGGAGACACCGATGAAGACATGGTGAAATCTGCGAAGGGAAATAATTTGACTCAAGGCATGCGTCAATGACAACGGAAAAGTATCCGGTGGAGGCTGACGATTATCATGATATATTGCAAGAAACATCGAAAGATTTTGATGCAGGAGTTCCAAGATCGATGAGGCAGCGCTGATTTTTGATCTGGACGCGGACGAGGACAAAAACCTAAGCCAGATGCACATTTTTTGGATGCGTCATTCCAGTCTCGTTCCCTACTTGCCGAGTCTCGGGCTCATATAGCATTCTATTGACAATCCTGCAATGGTAGACAGCTTTGAAATGTTGGTTGAGGGAGCTTGAAGAATTTGCACCAAGGCGGAATCAAATAGATTGGTGTGGTCGAGATCTGGATAAGGTTATTACCTATTCATCAATTCATCGTTAATATTCACATCTAGTTATATTAGACACGAAGTTTGGCTGTCAATTCTATGTCCAAATACCAGTCTCTGCACTCTGCAATACATTAGATGAGGCGCCAAAATTGAGACCTGCGATTGAGTATGCAAACAATTTCCATACACCAGTAATTGCATCCGGAGCTCATTCGCCTTAGGTTGAATCTACACAATCTATTGAAGGAAACGATGATATTCTGTTCTGTTCCACTCAAATAATAGTAGTGCTGTGTATTAACATCCCACACATATTCAAGATTCAAATGTACCAATCATTAAGCACTAGCGCAGATACCACCCTGAATTCTTGATGGCAATTTCGAGGAGGGAAAGGGGCTGCATGTATGTCTTGTATATTTGGTATGTCATAGTTTTAGCAGTGCGAGAGCTGGAATTGGGTATTACATGACGACAGATCTAGTTAACTGCTTCGCGACACTGACACCATGATCTCATCATTGATTGTGGCGGATCTCTAGTCCGGCGGTACTAGTCTTAGAGCCGAGGTTTTAGCTTATTAGATAGGGCTGACTAAATCATAAATCATGAATCACAAACATAAAGACAATATTTGAGCGGAGATTAATGTTTTGAGGTAATGTGACTAGAGTTCCCTCCTTTACAATACGAACACTGTGAAAAGTATCGCTACATTGACTCCATTGAAAATAACACATCACTGCTAACGAAATCAATAAAGAACAAACAACAAACATTTCCATATCGATGACCCAAAACTCAGAGCCTTTCAGGTCACCCGCCATCCGATGAGATATCTTTGCTTCTTCCCTCTATCCATGCAGGCGCTGTCTCCCAGCTCGTCTCAATCAGCGAGAGCACAGTTCCGCGCGCCTTCGTTCACTTGAGCCCGAGTCCCACAAGCGCACCATTGATCCCATCGACAACAGGCTCGAAGCCCAAGGGACCCAAAATTGTCCACAGAATTTGTCGTGCATGGAGGGTGGCTGATGAGGATGCAACCCCCTAGATTTACTAGCATGTTAGACATGACTTTCTAGTTATGTATGCAGGAGCGAGCGATCGTAGGGGTGTAAACTTGCATCATATTTGTCATCCTTTTGGATGACTTGGGAGTTCTTGTTCTCGGCCGCGGTATTCTTGGGTGATTCTCAGTATTTGAAAAGTGTGAACATGCTCATCAAGACTTACAGCGATGGGTGCCGCAATAGCGAGTGGTAGAACGATTGCTGCGATGACGAATCGTTGAAAATACATCTCGAGGGGCTGGAATGATTTGGTTATGGTGATTGTAGGCTGTAAGCTAGGAAGTTCTATGTTTGGAGAGACTAAGTGAATTGGAAGGAAACAATGCCGTCAATGGGGGCTCTTTATATATTCTTCTCCCACGATCGTTACAGGATAGACCAGATTGTCATTTTCATCATTCAGCTTCCACGAGGTCGAACAAAGAAGCGTCACCTACAATGTTGAACACCACGAGGAAAGAGAACGCGATACTACAATCCTCTGTACATTCAACGGAGAAACAATGGCGTCCAATAATGGGGCTCTGAGGACATTCCACATGGGGTTCTGGAAGAAATGATGGTCCCGCCGTTGCGGTATTCAGTGACATTGGAACGATCAACTCGCACCGGCGATCTGAGGCTTTGATGGAATGAGTTTCAAAGATTTTGTGTATCTGTTCAGCTAATTAGACATCGTTGGCAAAACTTGCCAATATATTCATTCCAGGTAATGTGATCGGCGGCCGAGACGATACATCACCTCGTTGAGAGATGTTAACTGGCCATTTGGACCACCTGAGTGATCACTTTCTAGTAGATGTTGAAGAATACTGTTAGGTTGAACTTGAACATGACTGGATTCAAGAAGCTAATGTTCGACAAGCTGACGTTGCCAGTCGTCACAATTGATCAAAATTCGTAAAGACACACTGATGCAATGTTCTGAAAAGAATGGTGAGGTTTGACAAGATAATAGTGATAGGTCATTCCTCGAATAACCATGCCTCGAGAATTTGAGTTGGTGAGAGGAACTTCAACCGCAAAGAAGTTTGTATCGGCTTAGAGTTTTCGGCCATTCCGTACCGACGTCACACTTATGTTGTCGGCCGGCAGCGCTATTACAAGCCGAGATTAACAGACCACGAGAGGTTTCAAGACACAAGAGGAATACGAAAATAATAATTGTACAGGATGACTTCAGATCTCTCGCATGTAAAGCGCATCCCCGAATAAGATTGACGGAGCGAGCTCCGGACGACCCGTCACAACATCATAAATCAAGACGAATAATCTGCTAGTACACCCCCAAAGAACATCGTTTGCTCGTATCACGATGAAATCGATCGAGATTCGCCATTGAGTGAGAAATCGATAGGGCGAAGGAGGAGCCGGAGGTATCTCCCTAGGCTAATGTCTACCCTACTGCTCAATTCAATAAACAGAATAAGATATACAAATTCCATACGATACGATACGCAATCGTACAACTTGTGCATAATCTCAATGTCGTGTTAGTCGAGTTGTACGCCTCCATTGCTGATGTTGTTGTTGTCATTCGTTATCACGAGTGCTTGAGGTAACAGAACAATTCTTGCCCTACCAAGAATTAGTGGGAATGAATGGCCTGACGGAGATATCTCCTGTTCATCAAAAGCGTGACTTGACCTGATGGCATTGTTGTCTGTCTCTTGAGTTAGGTAGGTAAGATTTACATATGGCAACAAGAAGATATGGTCCATGCGGAACGTACCTGATGTGTATGTAAGTAGGTAGTTATATGAAGTATCTTCCCATCTTGCTCCTTCTCTAGACTGCTTTCCCTTTACTCTGTGACGAAGATTTGTGCTGCGTACTCTGTATATGATCCAGAGTATCCTAATCACCTACCTCCTACCTATCTATCTACCTCGTATATCTAGTACGACCAACCGACCTGGGCAGAAGTAGTGCTCCTAAAAACAAGCTTGGAAAGTTGCCTCGTATATCTAGTACGACCAACCGACCTGGGCAGAAGTAGTGCTCCTAAAAACAAGCTTGGAAAGTTGTTTCTGTATAACTAACTGTATGACATTGTGATGTCACCGATACTCATTTAGTTCTTGCTTTTGTTGTCATAAACTCCATTGAAATATCTTTATCGTTGATGATAAGCCTTCAAAGAAGTCAAAGATGGCAAAGAAACTAGTGGATCAAAAAGAACTATTTCAACTTCGCCTCCTTGCCCTTTCGCCATGTCCGCTTTATAAGCTGACTCATTACTCATTGCTTATCTAATGAGGCTAAAACCCCTTTTGTTACCATATTACAAGCGGCGGAAATTCACCACCATTCAAAAGAACTTCAACGACTAAAACTCATCTTGATATAATATTAAATAATAAAAACATCTACTATCAACACAAAGAAGACTCAAATTTTCGTATGCTTTTTTCAAATTTCAATATTTAATTTGAAATGAATTTATAATCTATTAAAAAAGACCTTTGAAAGGGTACTCAATTTCCACCGCTTTTTTCAATTACGTAGAGCCTACCTTCGGAGGCGGACATCATCACCGGTGATGTTCAACTTAATCAAATCTCCCATGTTTTTTGATCGGGGGCTTTGATGATTGATCGGAGGCATCTCCACAGAATTCAGATCCCTCTTATGCAACCTTGCAATTTTAAACAAATATGATAGACGAATGGTCAACCCGTTTTTGTGATGCAATTTATACATAGTGGTCGTCGCTGAATCCCGAATACCATCTCATTTTTTTCTTTTGACAAAGCAAGAACAAAGTTTATCATTGTTTTGGGAAAGAAAATCACTGTCGCATATGATCCCATCCTTTGAGTCAATTCTTTCGAGAAAGTAACCCTGAGTACTAGGTACCCGGCGTCTCTAAATGTTCCAACAGGCACCTTGGATAAGAACAGTGGCAGCAATATCGCCAATAATATCAGCATCAAATATAACGTGGTCATCCAGCAACAATTCCATAACAGGCGGCCAAAGAAATTGTTTTACAGGAGCTACATCGCTATGCTCTATCCTCGCTGAGCCGACCAGAAACGAATGCGCCGCAACTCTGAAGGGATACGATAAAACACCTATTAAGAACACATCAAATAATCCGTTGCATCCACGGAATCCCTCCACGACGAAGGAATCAAGTTCCAATGAACCAAGACTCGGCATCTAGTTCCACTCCTGGAGCAGCTCCAGTGCGGAAGGACAGAGGACCGATCGCGAGCCAGGTTGGTGTTTGCCCTTCACCACTTTCCCATACACCCTTTTCAAAGAAACCCCCAATGATGTGATTTGTGAAAATATTGTGCTATAATGTTGCTAAAGTGAACTGACGTTTAACTTCTCAAGGCTTGTGATGTTTGTCGACAACGGAAGCAGAGATGTGACGAGAGCCGTCCAAAGTGCGGTCTTTGTACACGCTTGAAGATAGACTGCAACTATAGGGAGCCCGTACCGACAAAGTAAGTGCTGCAAGGCATGTTTCGGACGATTCAATACTGCGAACGGAATTTGAAATGTTTTAGTCTTCTCATCTGCAATGGACTTGACTGAGAGCGTCATAGGAAAGACAAAACCATGGTTGAAATCCTGGATCGAGTGAAAAATATAGAGAGTATACTCGAACAATTCCCTCAACTCTCGACGGGCATCGCAGAGTTCAAGCCAAGTCAGACGCCACTTACTCATTCATCATTGAACGACCCCCTTAGCCTCAAAGCCGAGGGACATACGTTCGCAACCTCGTTCTCACACCCAAACGAAATAAATACAGGTCGAATACATGCAAACTCTTTATATCGTCACTATACTGCGTCTCACAAGATTTTGTTATGGCCGGCTATACAGCAACTTCTTCTACAAGTTGCGCCATCAAACAATGGCAACCGCAAACTTCTGGAAAGGGGGTCAGTATTCATGGTTAGAATACAGGCCTCAAGACCTCAATTATCCTTAGATATAGATCTACAAGAGAAACCGTTTGTAGGCATGCAATCATTGGCGAGTAGAGTTGTTGGAGGCTCGCGAACAACATTTCCGGGCTTGTCCCAGGAAGCTATGCTTCAACTGGCGGTGTCTTATTTCGATACGTTCAACTTTCTATACCCTTTCATGGATAGACAAACTTTCCTTTCTGATACATTAGTGAAAGTGGTGTCTGAAGGATTCGATGGAGATATGGAATCCGTTATTGCCTTGCTAATATTCGCGCTTGGAGAAGTAGCGCTTGAAGGATCCTGCGGCTCTCCTGTCGATATCCACCAAGCACGGCCTAGTGGCATCAGAGGCGGGTCGGGGCCATCCAAACCACCAGGACTATCCTTTTTTAATGAAGCGATGAAAAGAATTGGCTGTGTCTTGACAGAATGCAGTCTTGAAAATGTGCAGATGTTTTGCCTGACAGCGTGCGTTTCAATTTCAATTATGAGTTTGTCGAACTCGACTAATTTAATACTTGACGTAGACTATATTACCAATCCTGTTACCGCCATCTGGTAATTATTGGAACCAAAAGCTTGAACGAGTGGCAGTTGATGTAATCGTAGGACTTT